AATAAATATTCATTTTAATTTTAACTATGTAATATGTGTGACCATTGCATTGCTCAAGTTGTCAGTAGTGCTATGGGTGTATGTATATATATTTCTGTTCGCAGTTATTTACATCGCACAGTTTATGTGACATGCACAATTGTCCAGTTAGTTGAGTTTATATTGCGAGATTGTGATTTCGAATATCTGGATATGGCACATTGAACTACTATTAATGTATATACAGATTACACAACAAACACTAATCATATTCGGCAGCTATGCTTGAAAGTACCAATTTGAAATTAGTATGGTTGTATTCTGCTGTATATCTATATACTTTCATGTATCGTACAACATTACAATAAGCAACTCGATTACGCTATATAAAAAAAACATGTACGCTGCATTTTTTGGGGGAATGTTGCACTATATTTAACTTGTTTGTTTATTAAGATCTATTGTTTGGCGCGTCGTTTATCTGTAAACATTGTGTTAAATAAACTACTAATGGCCGTGTAATGTGGGACTAGATGGCTGTGTATAGAACCTTCGACGTAGAGAGCTATTCATCACCGAATGGCATTCAAGAAAATTAATTCACGCGACAATGACCATGGAACCATAATCACATTACTCACACACCACCACTTCATTCTATAGTTTACCTTAAGTAGCATAATGGACGCTTTGTGTAACATCGGCAAACATTTTGTATGTACATTTTGAATTAATTATAAGAGTATGTGCTGATATACGCCTGGATTAATCTGCGATGTGTGCAATTAGGCAGTGTGGTGAACGCAATCCCATTTCGATATTGGCTCGTGAACCATGTTCTGCCATGATCGCCACGTGATCATCGACTATACACAAGATATTCTCAACGCTTTTGGAAATGTTTCATATTTGAATAGCTCAAGGGTAGTTGTGCTCATTGCCATGACAACCTTTTTTATGGCCATCCAACTTGAAGGGTGTTTACAAACTATCTGCATATATTGGTTCTTTCTTCAAGATTTGCAAACAATCTTTGCAGTATCCGTCAATTATTATTAATAAAACAGTTATTACAGTTGAATACATACATAGAATCAGCATGGTCAAAATGTTGGAACTCGTTTTAGAGATACCATATATTGCATCCAACCCACTATATTATAGTGAAGAGGGAATAACATACCCAGCTGTAGAGTGTGCCAGAAACAAACGTCACATAGATAAAATACGTGTTCATGAACACAACAACTACAACCCCCCCCCAAAAAAAACATAGAAAATATACTACAAAATATGGTTAAATAAGTGAAATGTTATTTCATGTCATCATTTACAAGAATACATGTTCTGTTCTGAGTTCTGTCAATGTGTGTGTGTGTGTCTGTTATTTCTTCAGCTCGAATCTGAATATTTGGGCTCAATTTATGTCCGCAATCTGATTCTACAAACTTCACACTGCTTATTTTTTCGGCTCACCGAGTCATATATTGTGGTTCTGTCAAAGAATCAGTAAAATAAACACAACTCAAAACGCTGGAGAACATTTTCAATTTTCTGAAGAATTTCCACGACGCATTTCGAATTCAATAATCAATTTTATTCAATACTATTTAGCGCTCATTCTATCATTATCCTGTCTTCCATTCAAAGGCCATACAAAGTTCAGGCTGATATTTCCAGAGATTGACAAAAATGACATTGTAAAATCCATTAAATTAAATTTCCCTGCGTACTAATATATGGAGCTGCCAAGGGACTGCAACCAGACGTTTACGTTGTCAAAAACTCTTCGAAAACTGTCGATTTGTTTGCCACGTCGTTACAAACGACACGAATACTCACTGCGCATGCCCCATCAGGTGAAACGACACAGCCACAGAACGCCAGTGCCAAATGTTCAATGTAGATATCAGTGCGGGCCAAACAAAAAAAAAACGTGACGGTTGTGAAACATGATTCGGACCGGTAATCAATCGTTTTTATTTTCGTAATAATGTTTAAATAAATAAAAAACGTAAATTCGTAGACACGGGCAAAGTGTAAAATGTAATCAGCTATTTTATTCGTCCGTAATTTGTACAAAGATATTATTTTTTGTAAGCGTATAAAGCATTTTCCGAATTGAATGTCGTAATTCGTACGCAATTTCCAATTTTGATTCTTAACCTAAAATATCAAAAATATTATAAAAATGTACAATGTAATTAAGAGTTTGCTTTATCTGTAAAGTGTAAAAACCCATTTTTTACTGTAAATGGAACTTATATTTTATTTCCTATAAAAACGTAAAATACCGTTTAAAATTCCTGTAACCTGTACCAGCTATCCCCCCTTGCCCCCTTCTTTTAACACTGCGTGCTATGAAACTGTTCCAAAAATAACAATCTTAACAATATATATTTTACCAATTTTCTCAACATCCGGTACTATAATACACAACAGAATGCAGTTCCATCATGTTACACCTCAACATGAGATCAAAGGCCAACTTTCTCAATAATTATGAGTAGGCTTCTAACTTGAATTGACATGGTTGCCAGGCAGCACACATGCGAAATATCTGTAAACAAACAATATTTCATTTGCGTTGAATACGTCGCATGGGGCCCATATCAAACACGACGCGATCGACAATTCTAAATTATACTTGTTCGCCTCGATCTATAAGTAGAATAGAGTGAACAATTATGTAATGGTAATTCAAAGTAATATTGTTATTCTTCATCATAACATTCAATAATATATGTACATTTCGGTGAACGTTGTCAAGACGTGGACTTTTTAAAATTGTACATTGAATATAGTAACATTGTTTCAATAATCTACGGCGAATGCCTGTCAACACCATTATTACTGTTATAGTTAAAACGTACTAATTGTTATTTATCTACTGTTGTGTTCTTCTATTTTTTTTACAGATCAGTTTTTCGTAGTGAAAATTACTATCAAATACTTTTTTAAATCTAGATTGTCCCCCATTAAATTGTCATAAATTCCAAGAAACAACCCATTCAAAAATATTGTCTAAAATATTGACATCTACATTTGATACAATCAACGGGGACTTCATTACTGCAATGTGTTCATTCTTTAAAAGTAACATAAATCACAATAATATCGATATTGACAATATCCAAAAACCTTTTGGACAATTGTTAATCAAAATAACTTTCTAGTGTGACATTAATTAACACTTGCCAGTCGTCGTTTGTTCACCCTGTTTATAAAACTACAGTATCACATGATAAATTTAAATTATGGTTTAATTATTTTTTCAAAAATAATGGGTACAATGGTATACTAGTAGTAATAATAATAATATTTGTTGCCCTTCACTGTATTTCTGCTTAAAAAAGAATAATTCCGGGTTTCAAGTCATCTGTGAAATTCTTGGTGAGGGTTTGAAGTGTCAATCAGAAAAAAATATAACTATTATTGTTTTGTATCTAGTTATGTAATAACAATTATCTAATCAATGTCTACTTATTGTAGTTGGTTCGCGTGAATTTCATTGTCTTGTGACATGCGTTATTGCATAAATATTGTCTCATTTTATCATAAATTTATTTAGGCTACGTGCTTTCTGGTATAAAAACAAACGTTGGACATTGATGATGATGATGCATCGAATGTCAAATAGCATATCTGTAATAGTCATTTCACAACTTAATGTAAATGTGTTTCTTTCTCGTCATCTCTGAAATATTTGACTACAAACTTGTACTCAAACATTAAAATAATTCATTATTTTTTCATTGACCGATGTGCTTAAATATATAAACACTGAATTCTCACGAGAATATACCAGGCTTGCTGTTTTAACGAACAAATTGATGTCCCGTTTTTATAATTTAGATAGTGACATACTAACAATTGTTTTATTTTTGTTTTACGGGTTGGATCTGGCGTCAGCGACTTGTCATTTGCTTACAAAATACAATACATATATTATATGGTAATATTATGTGCAGCAGCGACATGTAGTTAATTCGGAAGTAATCTTTATTATTATACATTTGTTATTGTAACGCCATAAATTGCAGCGTATTTTTACGGTATTGCACTGGGTATTTTCATTCTACCATAATTAATTAATAATTATAGTAGTACCAATACGCCATTCTCCAAATATCAGTAGTCTAGAAAAAAGATACTGAAAAATCGATGGAAGCGGAACATCACAAACCCCCACAAGGGAGTCAGACCAGGTGCACGTGAAGGGTAAGCATCTGCTGCTGGCATGCCCCACCCGCCGTGATGTTCCAAAGTCATGTCAGGGGGAAATGTCAAATCAAGTTTACTGGACAAACAACCACGCCAAGTCACAAGACAAACACGACCACATACATCAATCAACAAACAAATCTGCAATCATGTTACAGACAGAAATCCCACCAAATCATGATGGTGACCAAAAAACTTCTTAAATGCACGTTTAAAGTGCGGTGGTCGTCGCGCAGCGCGTGTTCGAATTTCATGTAAATAAACAATGTATTTTACACGCGTTGTATACGTCGCTATGAGTCCCATATCGAACAGGACGCGGCACGACGACTGCCATCGAAGAATCAGAAACCCTTGGCTTATCAACTTGGCAGTCAATAGCCGAGATCTGATCAGGAAATCTGAATACCTAGAACATGCTGTCGAGTAAGGCACAAGCTGTGAAATATAAACTCCATAAGCTGGCGATGTAGGAACGTTGCTATCGGTATATGGAAATGCGAAATGCGAATTCCAAATACGTATGATTACGCGCGTAAGCGTCCTCTAATAATAAAAACAAATATGGCTGTCACCAGGGTTTGACCGGACTCCACGCAAGTACGCTGATTATTTTTTTGGATTTCGGCATTCTCGTGATGTATCTTTGGAAGGAAAGGATGTATAATAATA